GGTAAACTTAACTGAAGTATTATTTCAACGTTATAGATTATTTATATCCTAAAATCCTCTCTATGGGATGTATTTTGTCCTTTACATTTCAGTTAAATAGAGTTGAAAAAGCAGTGGCCTGTAGGATCTAGCCCCTAATGTGTAGTCAGTGTGTCAACTTCCATCTCTCCAAGGCAGACTCAGGGGGGGGGGGGGGGGGGGGGGGGTGATGGGGGGGAGGGGTAGCTCAGAAAGTCTGGCAGCTGCATTTTATTTGAGGGTCATGATGTGAACCAGATTTTTCTGTAAAAGGAAAAAATCCCTTTGAAACTCAGGTCAATATCATGTCAGGGTTTCGTAACTTCCAATCTCTGTTCTGACCTGCGGTTCATTTCGGGAAACCATTGGCTGAAAACTGCTCTTAGTGCACTGAGGTAAATATGGCTCCAAGCCAAAGGAGGTTGGTGGCACCTTAATTGGGGCGGACGGGCTCGTGGTTATGGCTGGAGCGGAATGAGTGGAATGGTATCAAATACATCAAATAAATGGTTTCCATGTGTTTGATGCCATTCCATTTGCTCAGTTCCAGCCATTGTTATGAGCCGTCCTCCCCTCAACTGCTCACTCTACTCTTGTTTATTCACCTCTTATTCTCCCTCTGAGGCTTTCCCAAACACATATTAGGTCAACCAGAAATCTCCACAACTAGTAAAAGACTGATTCATAGTGGTTTTTAATGAATGCTTTACTTTGTTAGTGTTTTCTGGGCACCAAAGGCTACAGTATATGAAGCACAAAACACAAATTCAACTATGTGAGAGGAAAAACTACAGTAACTCTTTCTGTAGATATAATCTCACGTGACAGATTATACCCTGTATAGAAATCAAGTTAGCTATCTACCTAGCATGAGATTTGGTTAGAAGTTCCTAGATCAGTGTAGATAAACCATGTTTCTCTTCCTGGGCCCGTTGTCGTCTGGTCTGGACAACATGAGGCAGGGGGTGCTGTCTCACATATCAGCACCGAAGCCCCAAAGACTCCTTAGCTACGGCCAGATCAGCCAGCCAGAAGGCCACCCACTCCCCCTAAAAGTAAATGTGGATCAAATTAGCCTAACAGCAGCAATGTTCTCCCTTGACTACCAACCGCTTGTCTCTTCTTTCTCCCCAAGACAGACAGACACGCTCACTCACTTTCTTGTCCCTGAAGTTTCTCGGAGAGATTCTTCCAATTCTCAAAATGTGCAAGTAGATTACAGAAGGAGTTAAATGCCAAGAAAAGTATGAAAGACAGAAACTGAACAACACTGAACACACAAAAAGTCAGACAGGAAACAACTTCTTTGACGTGATCCATTTATTTGAGTTGGTACAGTACTACAGAAGCATGGTTTGTAGTAGAGGGACCAATGAAGTTTGGTTCCTTCCAATAACATTTCTTAAGACTTAGTCATATATGATGAAATCTGATTGTTTGTAACTCCAAAACATATACTTGAACAATGCTTTCACAATGAAATGTCATCTTCACTCCCTCAATGCTATATCCCAGACAATGGTATCTCTCCATTTATGCCATCAACACACTCCCAAGCAAGCCAAAGCATGGACAGAGTAGCTTTATTCGTCAAATGAAATGGCTTAATCACCAATAAATACAAGTATAAAAAACACCTTGATAATAATTCTCATTATCATCAAATTAAACATGATCATAAAAGATAGCAAAGTCACTCAACTTAAATCACCTTAGCAGTCCAGGTTCATCAACTGATACCAAAACAAAATCATAACTGTGGCAATAGCCAACAAAAATAATACTTAAATAACATAATAATACTATTATTATTGTCTTAATAGCAATATCCAGTCAAGTTTTCCTATGATTAGACTTTCTGCTACTAACTATTGTATATGCACCAGTTATTTCCAGTTTGGCAGATAGAGAGTTTAATCAGATTTCTTCCATTGTTTTCTCCTGGTGTCATTCCTTTATTTAGGATCTCCTTGCTTTGGTACAGATGGGCTCTGACTACTCCTTTGGGATCAAACAAGCGGTTGTCAATGTGATGGCACATACATGTACGTGTTTATCTCTGTGTTGATAATATGTGTTAGCATTTTAGAGAGATTACTATCATAATAATAAGCCATGGATTTCCCCTTTGAGTGGTGTCAATGGGCACCTCTTTCTTTGGAAGGGGGTAGGTTTAAATGCCCTGTTCTCTGTGGTTGGGTCACCAGGCTGTATTGGTAAGTTGACTCTCTATCTGATGTAAGTTCACAGCTAAACACTCTGCAATATGACTCAGGTCAGCTGCTCTGACCCCTCAGGTGTACCAAAAACAGGGGAAACACTGAGATCTCACTGATGTCAGATCAGTCCTCTGATCTCGTACGGCCAAACTCAGGGAAGAAATACTTTCTGCCATAACATAAAGCAATATAAAGTTTCTATATTTTGGAGAATCAAAAACAGAAGCGTAATAAAACAAAATACTAACATAGTATAATTTTATCACTGTAAATCCAGTTGACAATAAAAGGCCATACAAAGGGCAATAAAATGCAATATAATACGGAACGGGTCTGTCGTTTCAATCAATAACCAGGACTTTGCACTAGCGGACCTTTGAAATCATTCAACATGTTAATTTTGTTGCTTGGGGGTTGCTATGGTTTTCCATACACATATTCTGATGATATATCCAATGTATCAGTCACAGATCTCCCTCTCCATCCCAGTTGAAATGTGTTGCACACTAAGACCATTCTAAATACATCGAACAGACACACTCCACAGAACACACTCAGCCCATGAAACAAGTTGCTTTGCCAGCCTCTAGCTTTTGGCCTAAAACAATCTCTTAACACAAAAAAACATAATAAAAGCCTGTCAGGCTATTATTGTTGCGAAATGAATTCATTTTCAGATGGGGTTTCCCAGCTATCATAAAGGTTCCAGGGGCACATACAGTACCCAATCCATGTCATCCCCTGCATCAATGAAGCTTCTCATCTTTGGTAAAAAAACTTATTAAAAAAAGACTTTCCATTTCCTTTCTTTCCCCTCAGAACTCACTTTCTCTGTTACTTTCTCTAGTCTACATATCTGTTTCCTTCAACTCAACAACTCAATTCTTTCACCCTTTCCAACAGGAAAGGCCTCTCAAATCTCACCATCACTAAGAACATTCTCTTTCACTCTAACACTTGTTTTCCTCTAAAATCTCTACTACACTCTACCTCTCTCTTTCACTCTACCATTATTATGTTTCTCTCTACTACACTCTACCTCCCTCTAATAAAAACAATAGCTGGCTAATTGTGCTTATTTGACATAATGGCCCTGTACACACAGCTGGAGACCTGACAGCACAGACCACAGAACCCACCTGCCTGGTGCTGATAACATCTCCCGCACCAACACGTCTCCAGCCATTGTCTGTGGAATGTGCTGTGTCATCAGAGCACTGAAACACATCCTTCTACTAAGCCCTTTGTGGAGTTGGAGGGGGATGGTTTAAATTTTAACTAGGCTATAACAATATCCACAGATAACAATCTGAGCATTGTGTACACGACTCGTAGGCTTTCTCTGCCATTTCCAGCTGGTATGAGTCTGTAGCCAAGTTATGCCAATTGAGTGAGAAGGCCTCAGCAGAGGCAACTCCAGCACTGCACTACAGGCATACAGACAAAACAACCACAGACATGGCTGTTTATTTGCCAGGAACATTCCGGGGCTATGAGAAGGTTTCTGGGCCATCTACCTTCGAAGGTGAGCAGCTCCAGACCCCTCGAGCTGGCCTGACCAGGCCTTGTGTTTAACTAAATCACCAAACTGCTGACACATCAAGCAAGAAAGCACTGCACGAAAAGCCTTATTGTTTAAGACTCAGTCATCTCTCTGGGCTTGGTTCTTGTTCCTGGCAGTGTGTATTTTGGGATGGAGATTGGACTGTTTCATCTCAACTGCTGTTTTAGGTCTGTGTGACCCCTGACATGTGACTGTGTAAGGCAATAGGCCGCTGTGTGTTCCGTTAAGGTCCTGGGTCTCTCTCTCTCTCACCACATTCACATGTATACGAATCAAAACAGCATAACTGGTGACAGGTTGGCCTGGCATCCATCTCACTCCACTTTCAGGAAATGACATACATAATTTCATTTAGATCTAAAAGGCACTTATATCATATGCTCATATATAGGACATACGCTTTTATGGTGATATACGTAGCCAAATGTTTTACATATGCGGCCATATTAATATATAATGTATATATGTTTAACTTTCTTGGGTAACATAATAATTATATATGTCAGTTCCACAATCCACACAAAGGGTTGGTCACATTGAGCTTTGGACTATTTCAGTACTGCCAGAACCCACCAGTTTTGTATTCAAACTAAAATCTACGCAAATATTAATAAATAATTAACATTGTCAGTTATTATGGAGCAAGACCCTGGTTTGTTTTTTACATGAAGTAAAAGATCACAAAAACATGTGCTCTGTGTGAGTTTTTAAGGTGCTTTTGTAAACTCAAACTCAATTCATGGTTCGCTTTGAGAGCCAACCAGTTTCTGGTTGCTGCGTATGTGATTCTAACTTGTCTTTTGCTGAATATGTAAACATTTGAACACAGCAAAGTCTACGGGCGGACGGAGGAGGAAGGCTGGGACCGCATTCTCTCGTGCCAGTTGTTTTTGCTCTCACTCACAACGTTTCAAAACCCTGCTAACTGAATTTCCTTTGGCCTGAGAAGTACATAATAGGAATATATTGTATTTATGAGTGTGTGTTTAATATAGTTTGAACCCCGGTAAGAAAACTATAACCTCCCAAAAGGTTTAGGTAGGCTATCCCAGCAACATACGGCTCACTGGTCGTCATTGACATACACATACATGTACACACACATACACACAGACACACACACACCAACAGAGACAGATGTTATAGCCTCAACCTGGCCACCTGGCTGCCTCCTCTCTCCCCCTCCGGGCCCTCCTCGGCTAGGTGAGGTTGCTGCTGATGTCCAGGGCTTGCTGGTACACCTGAGTCATGTCGTCCAGGTCCCCCAGCAGGGAGAAGCTGCCGTTGTCCCCCGGGGACCCCCGCGATCTGGGGGTCCGGCTGAACTTTGACCCTTGGAGCAGAGGGGCCACCTGGAAACCCTTGAAGCTGGCCAGCTGCAGCAGATTTTCGGCTGACACACAGGCCCTGATGTTGGGGCGGTGCAGGGCGGTGGGGGGCCAGTCGGGGGACAGCCTGGGGGACAGGACGCCATCCTCCAACACCATGCTGGATGGACGGCTCTGGCTGCGGGACAGGCCCGAGTCACCCTGGGAGGGTTCCCCAAGAGCACCAGCCGAGGGAGGGCCGCTGTAGGTGGAATACTTCCCGTTGCGCTTCAAGATGCCCTTCCTCCCCACAACTCTCCTGGGCGGGGAGCTGCAGGCGGTAACCAGGGACATGGCGGCACCCCCTAGCAGCTCGGAGGACTCACTGCGCTCCGGGGAGGAGTAGTACCCTGATTCCCGTTGTTGGTTGTTCTTCAGGATGCCCTTCCTGGGGAGGGTGGGCACCATCTTGGCCGGCGAGCCCCCTGCCAGGGCGGGCTCCTCCTCTTCCGCCTCTCTGTTGGGGCTAGAGCAGGCTGGTTCTACCTCGGCTGGCCTGATGCCCATCATCGCTCCACCGCTCCCCAGCTCCACCTCCTCCAGGCTGGGCGAATGCTGCTCCTCTGTCACCCGGGTCTTCAGGATCCCCTTGGGCCTTTTCAGCCCAGACTTGTCCCCCTCCCCTCCAACGTGGGGCCCATCCCCCACCCCGTTCTCCTTCTTCGACTTCTTGGGGCGCTGGCGGAGGACCAGGGGCAGCAGGGTGGTGGGTTTGCCCGGCCGGGGCTCTGTCCGGTTCTGCCAGTCGATGAAGCGGGCCAGCATGGGAGAGGAGGTGCCGTTGTCCCGCTGGGTCTCGCAGTCGCACACGCTGCTCTTCCAGCCCCAGTTCACCCACCAGTGGTTGGCGATGTCTTCCACTGTGGCCCGTCGCTCTGGGTTCACCATCAACATCCAGCGGATCAGACCACGGGCATCTGGGAAGGGCAACAGGAGGGGAGCAGAGTTTAACACTCTATATATGAGCACAACGGGGTATTAATGAGCTAGGTTAAACTTCAGTGTTGTTTTTCGCTACAGAGCATTTATTATCTAATGAATAGATCTTAGACCAAGGTTTCCCAATAGGCGGCCCGCCAAATTCTTAGAAAAAATTAAATAGTTGTGGACATAAAAGACTGTAAAATCACCAGGAAATCAGCTCAAAGTGATTTTAATTTAGGAAATATCTTCCCAAGTATTCCCACGCATAAATAGAGGAGCATATGTGATCGTATCCCAATGTAATCAAGGTTTTAAATTATTCTGTTTGGGATTCCTGCGGTCAATTTGAAGTGTACAAATGATTTATAACAATGTTCCTGCCCCCCGACCATCCACGGATGAATGTAATTGGGGACCCCTGTCTCAGACTGTGTAGGTAGAGGGTCTTGTTCTGCACCTGAGGACTGGGTGGGCTCTCTGTACTCTCCATTGCTTATCTGGCGGATGAGGTTCTTGTGGTCTCCTCCATCGAATGGCATGGTCCCATAGACCAGGGTGTACAGCAGCACCCCCAGAGCCCAGCTGTCCACCTATAAAAACAAAACACACACACGGGTCACTACACAGATCAGGATCATGATCAGATAGACTGAAAGTGAGAGATCAGTCAGTAAAATCTGTCACTGGAGACGCAGTTGAAAAGAATAGGAATCTCACATTTCCCTTTACCAATTCCCATTCACTGGTAAATGAGGCTCAATGCCATTACTGGGTTAGCAACAGATCATCAAAACATTAACAAGGAGCGAACTGTATCTGAACTGGAAAGACGAATGTTGTAGCGACAGCTGAAACAGTGTATGCACCGCACAGCTATACACTCTAGAAAGGGTTCTACATGGAACACAAAAGGGCTTTGCCTGGAACCAAAAGGGTTATACCTGTAACCAAAAAGGGTTCTTCAAAGGGTTCTCCTATGGAGAAAGCCGAAGAACCCTTTAAGGTTCTAGATAGCACCTTTTTTTTAAAGAATGTACCATATTACTCTACAACATAATATCATAGGTAAACGTCATTTTGGCACATTTTTGCTGATATTTTTCTCAGTACATTGCAGTCAATGGGAAAAGATGAGTGTCACAGGGTTGTGTCACCCTCTGTCTCTCTCTCCCCTCTCTCTCTCCCTCCCTCCCCCTCCTCTCTCTCCCAGTCCCTCCTTCACCCTCTCCCTCTTTCTCTCCCCTACCCTCACTCTCCCCCTTCTCTCTCTCCCTCCTCCCCTGCCTCCCTTTCCTCTCATCTCTCTCTCTCTCTCTCTCTCTCTCTCTCTCTCTCGCTCTCTCTCCCTTTTCCTCCTCTCTCTCCCTCCTCTCACCCACCTCTGTCTGTCTGTTGACTCTCTCTCTCCCCTTCCTCCTCTCTCTCCCCCCTCCCTCCTTCACCCTCTCCCTCTCTTTCTCCCCTTTCTCCCCCTCCCTCACTCCCCCTCTTCTCTCTCCCTCCTCCCCCTCCATTCTCTCTTCCTCCTGTCCCTCCCTCCTCCTCTCATCTCTCTTTCTCTCGCGCTCCCTCTCCCTCTCCCTCCTCTGTCTGTCTGACAGACAGACAGGCAGACAGACAAACAGACACAAACAGGCAGACAGGCAGACAAACAGGCAGGCAGACAGGCAGGCAAACAGGCAGGCAGACACGCAGGCAGGCAAGTTGACATACAGACAGGCTGACAGACACAGGCAGACAGACAAACAGGCAGGCAGGCAGACAGACAGGAAGGCCGACAGGCAGGCAGTTAGGCAGACAGAGCCAGACAGACAGACAGGCAGGCAGACAGACAGACAGTTTCAAGTTTCAAGTCAATAACATTTTCTTTGACTGTTCCCCGGTCACAAATATGTAACATTTGGGTAGATTAAACCTTTGCAACCCTTCGAAACGGCCCCTATGACCCCCAATTAAGTCACTTCCTGTAATCGCAGGAAGCTGAAATTCAATGTACGGGGGACACTCTTTAACGATGCCTTGAGTTTCAAGTCTTTATGTTAAGAATTGACAGAGAGGATGGAAGACAATGTTTTTGTGTAACTGCAGGGAGAGAATGAAGGACCATGTTGAGGATTAAGGGGTTACTTCAGAATCTTTATCTACTTCCCCAGAGTCAGATGAACTCGTGGATACCATTTTTATGTCTCCTTTGAAGGAAGTTGCTAACTAGCGCTAGCGCAATTGCTAACTAGCGTTAGCGCAATGAGCTCGTGAAACTACCTCTCATTTACACGGTTAGCTAGCTTAATCACAGTCAACAGGGGCGTCATGGTTAAGTGAGGGCTGTAGGTAATGCTTTTCTATGGAAGAAATGCCTTGTTCTCTGTGGGACCAAGTTTTCACTGTGAAGAGTTCATTTCACCTGGTGTAGGCTTGCGTTCATCTAGAGCAGGGGTATTCAACTCTTACCCTACGAGGTCCGGAGCCTGCTGGTTTTCTGTTCTACCTGATAATTAATTGCACCCACCTGGTGTCCCAGGTCTAAATCAGTCCCTGATTAGAGGGGAACAATGAAAAAATGCAGTGGAACTGGCTTCGGGGTCCAGAGTTGAGTTTGAGGGATCTAGAGTGTCTGTTGAACGATTCCATACACACATTTTGTTTTCTAGCCTCAATCGTTCTGCTGATGTCACTCAAAAGCACACTAACTTTAGGTCAGGCTTCAAGGCCCACCTTTCTGCGATGTAGTGGAGGGAGGGGCAAATGAAATAATAGTTAATTTGATTAAATCAAATCAAATTGTATTTGTCACAAGTGCCGAATACAACAGGTGTAGGTAGACCTTACAGTGAAATGCTTACTTACAAGCCCTTAACCAACAATGCAGTTTTAAGAAAAATAAGTGTTAAGTAAAAAATATAAATAACAAATAATTATAGAGCAGCAGTAAAATAACAGTAGCAAGGCTATATACAGGGGGTACCGGTACAGAGTCAATGTGCGGGGGCACAGGTTAGTAGAGGTAATTGAGGTAATATGTACATGTAGGTAGAGTTAAAGTGACTATGCATAGGTAATAAACAGAGAGTAGCAGCAGAGTAAAAGAGGGGATGGGGGAACAATGCAAATAGTCCGGGTAGCCATTTGATTAGGTTAGGGTTATGTCTAGGGTTGAGACCCTAAACCTAACCCTAGCTTCATATCAACTCCCGACTCAACCCTAACTCCAACCCTGACCCTAACCCTCGGTTCATCTCCACATCCCGGCTCAACCCTAACTCCAAGAGCCAAGATGTGGAGGGCTAGGAATAGGGTTAGGGTTATGGCTAGGGTTAGGGTTGAGCTGGGATGTGGACATGAAGCTTGGGTTAGGGTTAGGTTTAGGGTTGAGTTTAGAGTTTGTCTGTCTGCTTTCCTGCCTGCCTCCCTGTCTGTCTTGGTCTCTCTGTCTGTCTGACTGTCTGTGAGTTTATGTCTGCCTGCCTGCCAGTCTGTCTGTGAGTGGATATGTCTGTCTGTCTGTCTGTCTGTCTGTCTGTCTGTCTGTCTGTCTGTCTGTCTGTCTGTCTGTCTGTCTGTCTGTCTGTCTGTCTGTCTGTCTGTCTGTCTGTCTGTCTGTCTGTCTGTCTGTCTGTCTGTCTGTCTGTCTGTCTGTCTGTTTATATGCCTGCCTGCCTGCCTGCCTGCCTGCCTGCCTGCCTGCCTGCCTGCCTGTCTGTCTGTCTGCCTGCCTGCCTGTCTGTCTGTCTGTCTGTCTCTGTCTGTCTGTCTGTCCCTCTGTCTGTCTGTGTCTTTCATCAATTTACCCATTGCAGCTTTATCACCAACGTTTTTTACCTTGAATGCAATGTATTGACTTATGTGCCAATACCCTTGATACATATCAATATCCTGTCTGTGGAGGTGGGAAAGTTGAGAGAGAGATGGAGGTAGGAGAGAATGGATGGAGGGAGAGGAGAGGAGGAAGATAAATAGTATAGAGGAGGGGAGAAAGAAGTAGGGAGATATAATGGAGGGGGGGAGAAGGGGGAGAGAAAGAGAGGGTGAAGGCGGGAGAGAGAGGAAGGTGTCATGTCTGTGATGCCTTTCTCTATACTTTATTCTATTTTATTTCACCTTTATTTAACCAGGTAGGCCAATTGAGAACAAGTTCTCATTTACAACTGCGACGTGGCCAAGATAAAGCAAAGCAGTGCGATAAAAACAACAACAACACAGAGTTACACATGGGATAAACACAACATACAGTCAATAACACAATAGAAAATCTATATACAGTGTGTGCAAATGTAGTAAGTTATGGAGGTAAGGCAATAAATAGGCCATAGTGCAAAATAATTACAATTTAGTATTAACACTGGAGTGATAGATGTGCAGAAGATGATGTGCAAATAGAGATACTGGGGTGCAAAATAAATAACAATATGGGGGTGAGGTAGTTGGGTGGGCTAATTACAGATGGGCTGTGTACAGGTGCAGTGATCGGTAAGCTGCTCTGACAACTGATGCTTAAAGTTAGTGAGGGAGAAAAGAGTCTCCAGCTTCAGAGATTTTTGCAGTTCGTTCCAGTCATTAGCAGCAGAGAACTGGAAGGAATGGCGACCAAAGGAGGTATTGGCTTTGGGGATGACCAGTGAGATATACCTGCTGGAGCGCATACTACGGGTGGGTGTTGCTATGGTGACCAATGAGCTAAGATAAGGCAGGGATTTGCCTAGCAGAGATTTATAGATGACCTGGAGCCAGTGGGATTGGCGCCGAATATGTAGTGAGGGCCAGCCAACGAGAGCAGTACAGGTCACAATGGTGGGTAGTATATGGGGCTTTGGTGACAAAATGGATGGCACTGTGATAGACTACATCCAATTTGCTGAGTAGAGTGTTGGAGGCTATTTTGTAAATGACATCGCCGAAGTCAAGGATCGGTAGGATAGTCAGTTTTACGAGGGCATGTTTGGCAGCATGAGGGAAGGAGGCTTTGTTGCAAAATAGAAAGCCGATTCTAGATTTAACTTTGGATTGGAGATGCTTAATGTGAATCTGGAAGGAGAGTTTACGGTCTAACCAGACACCTAGGTATTTATAGTTGTCCACATATTCTAAGTCAGACCCGCCGAGAGTAGTGATTCTAGTCGGGCGGGCGGGTGCAAGCAGCGTTCGATTGAAGAGCATGCATTTAGTTTTACTAGCGTTTAAGTTCAGTTGGAGGCTACGGAAGGAATGTTGTATGGCATTGAAGCTCGTTTGGAGGTTTGTTAACACAGTGTCCAATGAAGGGCCAGATGTATAGTCCCCTGTAGCTCAGTTGGTAGAGCATGGTGCTTGCAACGCCAGGGTTGTGGGTTCGTTTCCCACGGGGGGCCAGTATGAAAATGTATGCACTCACTAACTGTAAGTCGCTCTGGATAAGAGCGTCTGCTAAATGACTCAAATTTAAATACAAAATGGTGTCGTCTGCATAGAGGTGGATCTGAGAGTCACCACCAGCATCATCATTGATATACACAAAGAATAGAGTTGGCCCGAGAATTGAACCCTGTGGCACCCCCATAGAGACTGCCAGAGGTCCAGACAAAGAGAGTTTGAACAGGCTAGTAACAGGGGTTGCTACAATTTTGGCACCTAATTTTAGAAAGAAAGGGTCCAGGTTGTCTAACCCAGCTGATTTGTAGGGGTCCAGTTTTTGCAGCTTTTTCAGAACATCAGCTATCTGAATTTGGGTGAAGGAGAACCGGGGGGGGGGGGGGGGGGGGGGGGGGTGCATTGGCCAGTTGCAGCGGAGGGTGCAGAGCTGGTGGCCGGGGTAGGGGTAGCCAGGTGGAAAGCCGTAGCAAAATGCTTATTGAAATTCTCCATTATCGTAGATTTATCAGTGGTGACAGTGTTTCCTAGCCTCAGTGCAGTGGGCAAATGGGAGGAGGTGCTCTTATTCTCCATGGACTTTACAGTGTCCCAACACGTTTTGGAGTTAGTGCTACAGGATGCACATTTCTGTTTGAAAAAGCTAGCCTTTGCTTTCCTAACTGATTGTGTATATTTGTTCCTGACTTCCCTGAAAAGTTACATATCGCGGGGGCTGTTCGATGCTAATGCAGTACGCCACAGGATGTTTTGTGCTGGTCAAGGGCAGTCAAGTCTGGGGAGAACCAGGGGCTATATCTGTTCTTAGTTCTGAATTTTTTGAATGGGGCATGCTTACTTAAGATGGAGAGGAAAGCACTTTTAAAGAACAACCAGTCATCCTCTACTGATGGAATGAGGTCAATATCCATCCAGGATACCCGGGCCAGGTCAATTAGAAAGGCCTGCTCGCTGAAGTGTTTTAGGGAGCATTTGACAGTGATGAGGTGTGGTCGTTTGAACGCGGACCCATTACGGATGCAGGCAATGAGGCAGTGATCGCTGATATCCTGGTTGAAGACAGCGGAGGTGTATTTAGAGGGTAAATTAGTCAGGATGATATCTATGAGGGTGCCCATGTTTACGGATTTAGGGTTGTATGTGATAGGTTCCTTGATAATTTGTGTGAGATTGAGGGCATCTAGTTTAGATTGTAGGACGGCCGGGGTGTTAAGCATATCCCAGTTTAGGTCACCAAGCAGTACGAACTCTGAGGATAGATGGGGGGCAATCAATTCACATATGGTGTTCAGGGCACAGCTGGGGGCTGAGGGGGGTCTGTAGCAAGCGGCAACAGTGAGAGACTTATTTCTGGAAAGGTGGATTTTTAGAAGTAGAAGCTCAAACTCTGCAGGCTATCTTTACAGTAGATTGCAACTCCGCCCCCTTTGGGAGTTCTATCTAGACGGAAAATGTTGAAGTTGGGGATGGAAATGTCAGAGTTTTTGGTGGCCTTCCTAAGCCAGGATTCAGACACTGCTAGAACATCAGGGTTGGCGGAGTGTGCTAACGCAGTGAATAACTCAAACTTAGGGAGGAGGCTTCTGATGTTAACATGCAAGAAACCAAGGCTTTTACGGTTACAGAAGTCAACAAATGATAGCGCCTGGGGAGTAGGAGTGATACTGGGGGCTACAGGGCATGGGTTAACCTCTACATCACCAGAGGAACAGAGGAGGAGTAGAATAAGGATACGGCTAAAGGCTTTAAGAACTGGTCTTCTAGTGCGTTGGGTACAAAGAATAAAAGGGGCAGATTTCCGGGCGTTGTTGAATAGATTCAGGGCATTATGTAACTCCCGAGTGGCGCAGTGGTCTAAGGCACTGCATCGCAGTGCTAGCTGTGCCACTAGAGATCCTGGTTCGAGTCCAGGCTCTGTCGCAGCCGGCCGCAACCGGGAGACCCATGGGCGGCGCACAATTGGTCCAGTGTCGTCCAAGGTAGGGGAGGGTTTGGCCGGCAGGGATGTGGGTTCGTTTCCCACGGGGGGTTAGTATGAAAAAAAATTAAATGTATGCATTCACTAACTGTAAGTCGCTCTGGATAAGAGCGTCTGCTAAATGACTAAAATGTAAATGTACAGACAAGGATATGGAAGGATATGAGTACAGTGGAGGTAAACCTAAGCGTTGGGTAATAGCACCGATTGAGCCGGTCTCCGCGTGTGTGGGGGGTGGGACAAAGGAGCTATCTGAGGCAGGTTGAGCGGGACTGGGGGCTCTACAGTGAAATTGTATAATAAGAACTAACCGAAACAGCAATAGGCAAGGCATATTGACATTGGAGAGAGGCATAAAGCAATCACAGGTGTTATTCGAGAGAGCTAAGACAACAACTGATAATGACGATGAAAGTTTGGGCTGAGGCTAAACAGATAAACAGGACAGATACACAGGATGGGGTACCATGTAAAGGATCAGTCCAGCAGGCATCAGCTGAGTAGCTGAGTGATCATAAGGTCCAGTGAACAGCAATAGGTGAGTCCGGGAGTAGTTCGATGGCTGCTACGGCACAGGCGAGCAGGAGGCATGGCTGTTGATTGCGTGTGCTAGCGGGCCGGGGCTAGCAGATGGATCTTCCTGGTCGTCGCAACAGGAAGCCTGTTGGAACCACATCAGGCGATTACGTCGGCAGACCAGTCGTGATGGAACGGCGGGGCTCCGTGTCGACACTAGGAGGTCCCGTCCGGTTGACAGAGAGGTAGATAGCCGGGAGATGGGCCTGGGTCGAGGCTAGCTCAAGGCTAACTGGTGCTAGCTTCGGGACAGTGGTGATTAGCCAACAACAACCTCCATTCGGTTGCAGCTAGCTAGTTGCGATGATCCGGTGTTAAAGGTCCAGTGATTCCGGCAGAAAATCCGATATATTCTGGGTCGATAGCACGCTGTGCAAACTGGCCGATAATTGTCCAGGCTAGAGCTGGCTGGTAGGTAGTGCAGGCCACGGACAATGGTGAAAACCGCTAATGGTGGCTAATAGCAAGTAGCTAGCAAGTAGCTAGGTATAAGAAATAATAGAATCCGTTCCACATTGGGTGAGGCGGGTTGCAGGAAAGTATATTTAGTTGAAGGATGAAAAGTGAGATTGAGAAATATATACGAAAAAGACAAAAAACAAAAAAACAGGCTATTTACACGAGCACACTACAGAATACACGACCGCACTGCTACACCATCTTGGATCTCTTGCTATGCTTCCATATTGTGATGCTAATCTTCCCCCATTGAATGCAATTTATTCACTTAGGTCTCAACCCTGAGACACTCATCTTTTCCCATTGACTACAATGTACTGAGAAAAACATCAACCCTGTGACACTCATATTTTCCCATTGACTACAATGTATTGTGAAAAACGTCAGCTGCTGTGACATTTTACCTTTTTTGCAAAAATGTGCCAGGATGATGTTTTCAGGCTGATAATGGGCTGTGCTCTCAGCCCTGCCTTCCACTTCCACCCTCACAGCCATAGAACCAGTGATAAACACCAGAGTGTGGAGTCTGGAGTGTGCAAGTTTGTTTCCATGCACATAGAACTCTATTTCTCCCTCTGTCTTTCTCTGTGTGTCAGCCTGCGCTTTGTGACCACTAATCTAATGCAATGTGACTGTCTCAGTAAACGGGTTATGCAAGACAAGTGTCTGGGGCATGGAGGGGGCAGGAGGGGGAACAGAGGGATGGAGAGGTGGGTACTGAGTCCAGCAGAGATGGCAGAGCCGTGATATCCTGGCCCTAACAGATCTCAGGAGACACACTGCCGGTCACTGATTAGCCAGATGTCAGGCTTTGGAAGAGGAGGACAAGACTCCTGGAGGAATGTGGCTGCTTGTTGATGGTCAGGGGGATTTAGCCAGCCCATGTCTGGGACTGAGCTCTGGGACTGGGGTCTGCGACTGGGCAGACTGTCGGGGCACAGGAAATCAGATAGAGCCATCCCAGAAGCACCACACTGACTGGACTTCCTTTAAGGCCCATGCTAGGAATGTCTCACACTGGAGCCGCTCTGTCATTGGTTCAATGACTAAGACCGCTCCTCTGTCATTGGTCGGCTGGCAGGGCTGCAGGGAGGGCGAGATGGGGTGAGTGCCATTGTTGTGTTCTGTTTTTGTTTCCAGTGTTAGCTGTAATTTGCGGCTTTTCCCCAACTGGATTCTGTAACTTTGATTACAATCTCTGTGTAGTTATTTTGAGAATTCTGAAGAAAATGACAGTGAATTATACTAAATCGAATTGTTGGACTTTTCAGTCTAAAAATACGACTTTCACTTTGTTTAATAACGCACAACTTTTCTTGCAATTTGGAAAACGCCCTAAAGAATTACTTTGGAATTAGTCAACAAATAGTTTTGAGGCTATTTTGTCACATTCTCTCTCCCTTTTTCTTAACCAAACAACTTCTCTGTCCCACCCATCCTTGGCAGTGAAGGTGCTGAGCCTGTCTGTGTAACTCATTCATATTGTATTAGAGGATACTGTGAGCAACAACAACACTATAGTCTTCAAAGGGAGCCAAGACACCATCTGTGGCCTTCCACTGAGGATGTGAGTCTGAGGACTTCCACTAAGGATGTGAGAGTTGCTGTGAGTAGTAACTGACTGGGGAGCATCCCATCAAAGAGGAGACCTCATGCCATGGTGCGCGCTAGTAGCATTTCAATCAGTGACATCACTCACTCTGAGACCTTGAAGTAGTTGTTTCCCTTGCTCTGCAAGGACTGCGGCTTTTGTGGAGCGATAGGTAACGATGCTTCGAAGGTGACTGTTGTCGATGTGTGCAGAGGGTCCCTGGTTCAAGCCCAGGTTGGGGCGAGGAGAGGGACGGAAGCAATCCTGTTCCACCTCCTCCCTCCCCCCTCCCCTCCCCTCCCTCTACCACTAACTTTCTCTATCTCTCCCTCTCTCTCTCTCTCCCTCCCTCCCTCTCTATATCTGCTTTGGGACTCCCACCCCATTAGTAATAACTTCTCCCAGGGACAAAAGAAAACCAGTCTGTCTCATTGTGTCTGTCTGTGGCCCCTGACCTCTGTGGTGCCTGCCTAGTGCCTACCTCTGGGCCACAGTAAGGTCTTCCGTTGACTATCTCCGGTGATGCGTAGAGTGGGCTGCCACAGAAAGTCTGCAGCAGTTTGTCCTTGTGGTAGAGGTTGGACAGCCCAAAGTCAGCAATCTGGTGGGAGACAGAGACACATAGTGGTTTGGTAAAACATCATAACAAATGTCATTAAAAGTCTTATGGCACTGACAAGGTTACAGACTCTAAAAAATTAAGTTGTCTAGTAGTGCCTGCATATCTAAACACTACTCAAAGTTACAGACTGTTACACAATTACAGATTATGTTACAAGGTTACAATGTATGGACAATAGTCTGTAGAGTTGAATATAAATGACTCTTTCTTACCTTAATGTTACAGTTTTCATCCAGTAGCACATTTTCCAGTTTCAAATCCCTGTGCACCACCCCATTCTGTAAAAGACAAACAGTCCATCCGTTGGCTATAGAAGAAAAATCACCAGACCGATTGCCGTGCTGTACAACTCCAGTGTTGTTCTCAGGGGATATAGTCAGAGTGGGCCAATTGGTCTAGCACAGTTTAATTGCCCTGCCTGGCCCTCTATCATCTGTGTGTTGACATCTGCAGTGATTTTCCCTCTAACTCACATGTCACATAAACAAGAGCCTGTAATGATGGACCAGGATAAATTATGTTCTCACAAAAAAAAGTAACTATGAAGTTTAGTGGCCCTTTCAAGGCAGGCATTAACATGTGGTACACACACTGGGACAGGAAACACAAGCAGCCATTTCAGATCTGGAAGTGATGGGGTGACTTCACTACAGCTGTAACCGCCAGGCCTACACTGTACTGTGCGTCTCCAATTGGTTAGGATGTGACAGGGAACACTTGTTCACATGCTTCTAAATGGAGTGGATGAGGTGGGTCTAATCAGCACTCTCACAGTACACCTGCTTCCTGTGTCAGTCAACCACACTTTATCACCCCACCACCCTACACCATGCTACTCCACCCCTCAGTGCGGTTGCCCCTAGAGACTCATCCCTACGAGCTGGCTGTGTGTCTAGAGCTCTCCCTTATGCTGGGGAGACTAAAATGTTAATGTAAATGAGATGACATCATCCCATTCCAGCTGTAGAGATGATGACTAGGGGGGAGCCCACCCAAACATCCCCCCTCCCTGGGGGACCATGGTTTAATGAGGGAAGGGAGGAGGGAGAGGAGAGGGGTGGGCTAGGATCCATGCTATGGGGGGAGAGGAGGGTGGGGTGTCCTGGGGGAGCTATGAGGGGATCCAGGGATATGGAGACATGACAACAGATGAGGATAGAGGGAGCCAGAGCTGGGACTGTGTGCACGATGGACAACACTGGTTTGTGTTAAATCTGTACTCCCTTACAGTCCTCCTTAACACCAAGAGGCCACTAAAAGGATAGCTCATACTGCAGATGTATTCGCTATGTGAGGAATATATACGGTTATAGTCATAAGGTTATGATATTTCGCCCTGCATCTGATTAGCAGAAATGTGTGGGTGTGTGCGTGCACGTGTGCGCGTTTCTCTGGATAATTTTACCTTGTGACAGTGGTGCACGGCAGAGACTATCTGTCTGAAGAAGTGTCGCGTCTCTCTCTCGCTCAGGCGCCGGCGCTCGCTGATATAGTCATACAGCTCACCCTTACTGGCGTACTCCATCACGATCACGATCTTGTCCTTGTTCTCAAACACTTGAGGAGAATGGACACACAGTTATTATGGACAAACAGTTAGCAACCATCTTTTTCATAGCAGAGGTTTCATCATAAAACATTCAGGAGGAGAAACAACTAACTTCATCGTTTCAGTGGACAGTATTATGTTGAATAAATGAGAAGAGTACCCCTCCCAGTTTCAGAGCCAACTGGCTGTATTCACACTCCAGAGCACGTTGCATCTCTCTGCACTGCTTCTACAATTACATTACATCACCAATCCCACCTCATGTGTCTGGCTTGAGTCTTAACAACACAACTGGGAGGGAGGGAGGGGGGGGGTGTTTTAGTAACCAGCCAAACCCCTTGGTGAGGAGAAGGCGAAGAGAGAGAGAGCAAGAGAGAAATGAGAAGAGAAGAGAAGAGAAGAGAAGAGAAGAGAGAAGAGAAGAGAAGAGAAGAGAGGAAGAGAAGAGAAGAGAAGAGAAGAGAAGAGAGAGAAGAGAAGAGAAGAGAAGAGAAGAGAAGAGAAGAGAAGAGAAGAGAAGAGAAGAGAAGAGAAGAGAAGAGAAGAGAAGAGAAGAGAAGAGAAGAGAAGAGAAGAGCATGGTTAACAGAAGGTCCATAGTGTCATCCTGACCTGGACAGTAAATCAACATCTCTTCATGTCACTAACTTTCACCAGTCTCTCCCACATTCCAAGCCATCACACAAAGCCCCATTCAACCTGGGGCCCGATTCTGACATAGGAAATGTACGCCTTTCCTACGCACGCCTTTCCTACGCACTTCTCAGTAGTTGGTTTTCACACTTACCTTATGCAGATAGGGTTTTCAGTACATTTATCTAAACCCATCCCTTTAAATTTGGTGTACCTTTCATTTTAATTTTCTCGACTGACTTACTACAGTTCCGAATATTAGGGATCAATTAAAGAAAGCCATGTAGGCCTAAATACACGCATATTCATCTCCTTTTAAACACACATTGGTAGATAAAAAAATACTCTGATCTTGTAGATTATTTAGGGTTAGGAAAGTATTTATGATGAATGAAAACAAAACCAAAAAGGTTTGGAGAGCCTTTACACTCTAAATATATTGGTGAATCAAAAATGGTGGTTTGACTCATCTTGAAAGTTGCCATATTCAATTGTTCCATCCATGAAATATTGGAAGGTGAGAAAAGTGCACAATAGGGGTTGAACAGTAGTCCTATAAATCTACCCTATTAATCCTCACTAATCATGGAACTGTGATGACAACGGTCCAGCCGTTGTAAACCGTGAACTGTGAACCGTGCGCCAGGCTCCAGGTAAGCTGCTACCTATGGTCTACGTTCCATAATGATTCAAATAGGCTACATGTCCCAAATTATTGCACAACTTCTAATACGTTAGCCTAATATGATCCACTATTACTAGCGATCTACAGGAACAACCACACAAATGTGACAGAGGAAAGAAAGTTAAACTACTATGTAATGCAATTATACAAAATGTAATGAAACTAACACTAAAGTGACAGTTAGAAATGTATGTGGGTATAACTGACGGTGGCTACCAATAGTGGCTAATATTTAACATGATACAAATTGTAAAACATACAGTGAAATGTCCGGGCATATAATTAAAACATTCTAGAAATCATATATCAACATTGCAGGTTTGGCGCTATACTGTCATTTGCGTATGGCTACAGATCCTATAGCTTGGGTCATCAAATTTCATCCTTGCAAGTTATAAGGCCAGCATTTCATAAACTTCACAGTGGAAAAGGTGATATGTTGATATGCTTCAGTTTGCTGCCATATGACTGGTTTTACATTTGTCTCCATCGATCATAAGGTAAAATAATTAAAACAATTGTCATTTATATTTACAATCCCCAAATCCAAACGTCTTACTCATTTAGCTCTTATTAACTTGTAAATTACAGTGTATGGATAATGTTGTTATTTATATCGGAAAAAGTTAAGCAGATGTTGTTCCACTTGGAACCGACAGGTTGCTCGACCTTATTCATTCTTTCATCGTGCGTAAAGATGGTGGAATTACGAGTGAATTAAGTCGAGGTTAGAATACGGTGTATCTGTAGACACACCTCTGCCACAACTTCCTTTCTGTGAATAGCTGGCTGAAACATACATTACTTCATGCATAAGTTCAAGGTCAGAACACGCATAGAGAGAAAAGTACATAAAAATGGAATTAAGTTCCATTTAAGTGTGCATAACTCGGGTCTGAATCGGCCCCCTGGAGAAGAGATAGGAACGCCCTACAGACTAGACACAGGACAACCTGTCCTGTACTGTTCCACTATCTATCTAGCCTCCAATGTATCATTTCGCCTACTGCCAGGGCATGTTGCCGTGCCAACAGCAGTGCATCATATGGGGGATGAGAACTGTTAGTCAGGCGGAGAGAGAGGGGATGATGACACAACCATCGGCCATGTTCTTCTTATTGTCAATGTATTTTCCCACACTACAGGGACTCCAGGGGTGAAGGCCTAGTCAACGCTCTGCACCCATGAGCGAGCACCTTCACAGGCCCACCCATCCCCTCTCCTCTCCTCCCACCCTCCCCTCCCTTTCAGAGAATAATCCTGTGGTAAAAACATGTTGATGCTGATTGATGGTAACCCTCCCTGATTGTGACTGCTCCGCCGGGCAGGGCAGGCAACACGGGAACCGGGCCAACCGACCTGGGGGTCGGTTCTGATTGGCCGACGGAGACGTGACCCGGGACGACCCTTCCGGCGATCCATGGTGGGGGTCCGTTTGAGAGCCCAGCGTGGGCACTCGTTACCTCTGACCCCTGCCCCTCGTGCCACCCTCCCCCATGATTCACTGGGGTAATTACCTGGCTTAAATAATGGCGTGCCCTCTCCGTCCATCACTCACTCAGTCTTTGTTCAACAGGCCAGCAGGCCTCAGATCACACTAATTAGCACCCATTGTCCCAATGCTCTGCTCTGCTCTCCGCTGGGTCCACTAGGCCTCTGAGCTGCTAACATGGGGGTGGGTTGCTAATCACTGCCTTAGCAGAGTTAGATAGAGGACAATGAAGTTACTAAGAAATGTAGCTTTTATATAAAAAATTATAATTATTATATTTTAACATAAAAGCTTTAAAAAATGGTAACTGCAGCCCTGATAGTGTGTTAATGTCTGAAGTGAGGTCTTTAACATAAACATTTAGGAGCCATTTATGCCTTTCCTACGCACTTCTCAGTATTTGGTATTCAGACTTACATGATTCAGTTGCATAACGCGCTCTGCAGGTGTGGCTACCTTGCACGCTCTGAATGAATTGCGTTCAACTGCTGAAACCCCTCCCACTTGCTGGCCAACAGATTTTCTTGTGGAGTTTTCATTCAATAGGGTTTTCAGTCCATTTATCTTAAGACATCCCTTTAAATACGGTGTACCTTTTAGTTTGAATTTTGTCAACAGTCTCGATAGAATATATCGAGAGAACGGGTTCAGAATATTAGAGATCAATGAAAGAAAGCCATCTAAATATATGCATATTTGTCTCAGTTTCAGCACCAATTGGTAGATAAAAAAATACTCTGATCTTGTAGATTATTTAGGTTTAGGAAAGTATTTATTAATTGGTTTGGAGAGCGTTTACGCACAAAAGAAAGAAAACGGTGGTTTGATTCATCCTGAAAATTGCCACATTCAGTTCTTCAACCCATGGTAATGTTGGAAGATTAGTATGCATAGAATTATAATAGAGAGAATAGTGTAGAATAGTAGGCTATACCCTCGTCTATTGCCTGCACTAACCATGAAACTGTGTGATGAAACGGTCAAGTATTGCGCCATGCGTCGGGTTCAAACTATTACGGCTTGGTCTGCGCTCCATAACGATTTAATTAGCCTATGTAGCACATAGGAACGTGTGAAGCTTACTCCTCAGCCTGAAGTGTCGCCACTTGCGCCAGCGAATAGCTAGCTTTTCGGGTGGCGTCGACTGGTAAGACGCTTCAGGAGGGCGGTCACGCGTGTTAGCAAGGCAGAGGTCCCGAGTTTGTGCCAGGTGTGGGCCGAATAAGGAGGAAGTGGTACTCGCTAAGCAAGCAGCGTGACGTCCTTTACACCTACGTCTTTCTAAAAATATTATCAACTGTTACTAATGATCCTCAGTAACAACCACACAGCCGTGACAGTGTTTACACAGGAAGCAAATGAAGGTAAACAAAACAATATAATTAAATGGAAAGATAATTTAGGCTATACCAACTATAGGGAACTAACGGTAAATTGGCAGTTAAATATAAGTTGTTATTAGGCTTACTGACCTTCTATAGAGATAGTGGCTAATATTTAACATGGTATAAATAGGAAACAGAGAATGTCGGGGTAGCCTATAATTAAGACATTTGAGAGTGCCCATCGCTGCAAGTTAAAAGGCCATACATAAACGTTACTGTGGGAAAGTTGATATGCTTCAGTTTGATGCCATATACCTAGTTTCACATTTGTCTCCAGAGATAAGGTCAAATAGATATAAACAAGTGTCATTTATATTTACAATTCCCTTATCCAAATGGATTACTCATTTACCTACCTCTTATCATGTTGTAAATTACTGTGCATGGAGAATAGTGTTATTTATATGGGAAAATATTAAGTAGATGCTTTTCCCACTTGGAACCGGTAGGTTATCATGCTTAAGTTCAAGGTCAGATAGAGAGAAAAGTGCATAAAAAGGAAATTACGTTCCATTTATGAGCGCTTAAGTCGGGTCAGAATTCCCCCATTAGTGTTTTGGCTTATATTTTACATGGAGGGTTATGTACAGTACTCATAATGCAGTGCTTTTTTGATTCAAACCAGAAAATGAGTGGGAGGAGGGGTACCCCCTTTAAAATCGATCCCTTCTCAAAGTCCAGTCTTCTCTAAACCAGAGGGAGGTCCTTGTCCTTGTCATGCCAGGCTTGTTTGACTGCCTTTAAGTCTGCTGGGGGACAATAGCATTACCCAAAACACTACACAAATAGATGACGTGAATACCATTTAAACTGAATGGACCGAATTGACTTTCAGCAAGACCTCTCTGGAAAATGTTCCTTTAAAATCAAGTTATGAGGTAATGAATTATGCTGGAAGTGACAAGCGAATGTGCTTTAAATGCTCGCAGGCCTGCTGATGGGATGCAGAATGGATGCAGAGCAGGAAAATCAATCTCAACTCTGCACATCTGGTTCAGCTTTGTTTCACACAAGCAGTTATCTGTTGACACGGGTGTTGCCGGATACACAAATGGGTCTATACATTTGCAACACTTTTCTGGGAAGGGGCCAGCCCTCAACAGTAACCACTGGTTAAAGAGAAACACCAGAAACCAAGCAACCTCTCCAAAAAAACGACTGGCAATGGTTGGGAGGGAGCAGCACCCCAACTCCTTATAGGCTAGTTTATAGGAGGGAGCAGCAACCCAACTCCTTATAGGCTAGTTTATAGGAGGGAGCAGCACTCCAACTCCTTATAGGCTAGTTTATAGGAGTGAGGAAGCACCCCAACTCCTTATAGGCTAGTTTATAGGAGGGAGCAGAACCCCCACTCCTTATAGGCTAGTTTATAGGAGTGAGGAAGCACCCCCACTCCTTATAGGCTAGTTTATAGGAGGGAGCAGCAACCCCACTCCTTATAGGCTAGTTTGTAGAAGGGAGCAGCACCCCAACTTCTTATAGGCTAGTTTATAGGAGTGAGGAAGCACCCCAACTCCTTATAGGCTAGTTTATAGGAGGGAGCAGCACTCCAACTTCTTATATGCTAGTTTATAGGAGTGAGCATCACCCTAACTCCTTATAGGCTAGTTTATAGGAGTGTTCTCCTAATCAGCCTCTCAGACACATACAAACTAAGTTGAACCATAGCAACCACAACACTCACTGAAGACCGGCAAGTTCCCATGACAAATAGCACTGTTTGTCGGGTCAATAAAGATTGGCAGACTGAACCCAATCAAAGCAGTGTCATAGTCAGCCTGTTTGGGCAGTGTTGTTAGACCAACAGTTCTGACATGGTAGATATAAAACATATCTTTTATGATGTGGGATATAAAAACAGACACTAGATCTGACTTACCGCATCTATGTGCTTTAGGTTCAACTGCCCTTTGAGATGGAGGTTCATTTGTGGGTCAAACGTGTGATGGAAATTGTAAGGTAATGTAATCTGCATCAACATTCTCTGTAACTCACACTTCCCCTCTCAAACTGAGGTGTGGGGTCAAACCAAAAGAGCAGATATGCAACAAACAATATGAGTGAAGCCTTTGTCTTTTAGAGGGTTGTCTAGTGCAGGGGTTCCCAAACCTTTTCACTCAGGACCCCCTTCCAACATTGAGGAAGATATTGCGCCCCCACTGCTTGCGCACGCCACGTCTATTTCTATGGGAACAAGCACTGTTCATGACACAAACTGTTCACACCCCTCTTGTTGGCAGAGATTTTCTTGCAATTCTATACATTTTGCCATGTCTAATTCATGTGATATTTGAGTGACTCAAATATTACAACAAAATCTATGGGTTAAAAAACCTAGCTAAAAAACGTTAGCTGACATGGGCTAGTTGATCTGGACATTTCTGACAAGTTATAAATAGCTCTCTAAGGTATGCAATGACTAACATGACAAGAGGAACTGATGATGCACTACCCAATTTCGAAATTGCACCTTCAGCATTCTACTATTACAACTTTCAGGAGTAAGTTGAAAGCCGGACTGAGTTCCTAAAATATAATTATTATTATTATTATTATTGGGGCCCCACAGTTTGGGAATTATTGGTCTAGATATTCTGTATGTGGAGGTGGCTTTAGCGTGAGCTTAGGTCCTCTCCTCCCTGTCCATATCTTTGGAGTCTGGCTCAGGGTTAGTGGGGTGGGGTTAGCCTCCTCTCTCTCTCCCTCCCTCTCCCCCTTTCCTCCCTGTCCATATCTGTGGAGTCAGACTCGGGGTTAGCCTCCTCTCTCCCCCTCTCCTCCCTGTCCATATCTGTGGAGTCAGACTTGGGGTTAGCCTCCTCTCTCTCCCTCTCTCCCTGTCCATATCTGTGGAGTCAGAGTTGGGGTTAGCCTCCTCTCTCCCCCTCTCCTCCCTGTGCATATCTGTGGAGTCAGACTTGGGGTTAGCCCCCTCTCTCCCCCTCTCCTCCCTGTCCATATCTGTGGAGTCAGACTTGGGGTTAGCCTCCTCTCTCTCCCTCTCTCCCTGTCCATATCTGTGGAGTCAGACTTGGGGTTAGCCTCCTCTCTCCCCCTCTCCTCCCTGTGCATATCTGTGGAGTTAGACTTGGGGTTAGCCCCCTCTCTCCCCCTCTCCTCCCTGTCCATATCTGTGGAGTCAGACTTGGGGTTAGCCTCCTCTCTCTCCCTCTCTCCCTGTCCATATCTGTGGAGTCAGACATGGGGTCAGCCCCCTCTCTCTCCCTGTCCATATCTGTGGAGTCAGACTTGGGGTTAGCCTCCTCTCTCTCCCTCTCTCCCTGTCCATATCTGTGGAGTCAGACTTGGGGTTAGCCTCCTCTCTCCCCCTCTCCTCCCTGTGCATATCTGTGGAGTTAGACTTGGGGTTAGCCCCCTCTCTCCCCCTCTCCTCCCTGTCCATATCTGTGGAGTCAGACTTGGGGTTAGCCTCCTCTCTCTCCCTCTCTCCCTGTCCATATCTGTGGAGTCAGACTTGGGGTCAGCCTCCTCTCTCTCCCTCTCTCCCTGTCCATATCTGTGGAGTCAGACTTGGGGTTAGCCTCCTCTCTCTCCCTCTCTCCCTCTCTCCCTGTCCATATCTGTGGAGTCAGACTCAGGGTTAGCGGGGTGGGGTTAGTCTCCTCTCTCTCTCCTTATACTGCCTCAGTCTCAGTCTGGCTCCCAGCTGGAGATCTCTCTAAGTACCAGCAGATGTCTGGCCCTGAGTTCAAGACCAGGGAAGACATAAGAAGAAACCTCTCAGATGTGGGATAGAGAGGCTAACCTCACGGACACCCGTCTGACACATACACACACACACACACACACGTGAACGTGCACACACATACACTCTTTGAAAGACATCCAGAAACGCACACATGCAGCCACACACACACACACACACACAATGGATCTACTCACTGACTTGGATCAGACAGAGAAGAAAATATGAATAACATCCCAAAGCCGACGTCCAGATCTTATTATGACATCTGCTTGTCATAACATGACAGTCCTACAGCGGGACGAGGCAGAACTGGGGGAGGGAAGAGAGTGAAATGGTGTGTGTGTGTGTGTGTGTGTGTGTGTGTGTGTGTGTGTGTGTGTGTGTGTGTGTGTGTGTGTGTGTGTGTGTGTGTGTGTATGTGTGTGTGTGGACAGAGACCCACCTTCATAAATAGAGATGATGTGGGGGTGTTTTAGGGATGACATGATCTCTATCTCCCTGCGGATGTGAACCATATCCTGCTCATCCTTGATCTTCTCCTTCCGGATGGACTTGATAGCCACCTGAGGACAGAGAGGACAGACAGGTGTTCTGGTCAGTTCAAGTGGACTAATAATCAGATGGATACAAGTATACAAAAATGGCTAGTGGGGCAGCTCAATCAAAATCAGCAATACCTCCAAACTGATTGTGATGATGAACCAACTCAGGTCAAAACGTGAGTCAACAAACCCACACAGCAAATCACAGACAACTCTTCACAGTGATCGCACATCAGCAAACACATTTGGACAGCCAGAGAATGAAGAAAACTCTGTTGACCATTGCAAAATGTCTTACATAACATAATCTAAATGAATACTCTCTGAACCTCCTCAACCACATAACCCCCCTCCCCAGAGCCCTATAGTGACCAGCCCACTGTGACCTCTGACCTCTGCTCTCCCACTTATCCAGTCCACACAGACAGGAAGGGGTCAATTGACTGAGAGACACAGACTCAGACATCACAGTCATCACAGGCTCTTGCTGTGTAATTTACCGTCTCTTTAGAGGAGAAAATGAAGGTGCTCTCTGAGGAAAAACAACTTGGCACGTGGTGCAGTAATGGAGGACTCCTTTGTACTGTGTTCACCCTAGTATTAACAGACAGCTTGGTCTCTCAAGTCTATGATGTGTGTGTGTGTGTGTGTGTGTGTGTGTGTGTGTGTGTGTGTGTGTGTGTGTGTGGAACGGGGCAGGGGCAACTCCCCCTAACCTGACCCCAGTCTAATGGATATATCAGGTAGCACATCAAGAAGAATAGGGGATTTCTGTGCTGCGGGTTTCCATGGCAACTGCAACTGGTGGAGGTGTGTGTGTCCCAGCAGGGGAAGTGGATTGATGAGCTGAACCTTCTAAACTAGCCCGTGACGACACTACTAATGTTGATTTATACCATCCCTCTCACAAACACTCACACACGTCGTACAGTGTGTAGGCCTACACCCACATCAGAGACCTAAGGTCTTGTCACTAGACCACTAATACTATTATTATAATAATATAATATAAACTCCACTAGGGCTGACCCCATTTAGTCAACTGGTCAAATTTATGACACGTCTTGATTGACGCCTATCTGAGTGGACTAATCCATTGCGGAGGCCGCGGGGATGGCACACCAGTATCACCAGTACTACATTTACCCTTAATTACCATCATTTATCATCTACAATGTTTGTTTCGTTACTGTAATTTATTTTAATACATTCAATATATTATTATTACAGTCTTTTACAGTTCTCATTGTTGAAGTGGACATGTTGTTTGCAGAGAGCACAACCTAGGCTATACTTGTGAGAAACACGTTTTGGTTTATTTAATTCCATTTACGAGTTGTCAATGTATTAATTGTGTTTTGTTTGGAGCGCTCCTGATTTGGCATAGAAGTAGGCCTAGGCTACCTGGCCTGCGCGCAAATGTAGGCTTATAAATGTGCCCATTTGGGGATCTGATAGTATTTCTAATTGTCTTAACTCAACACCACTAATGAGCGGTGGAGCTTCTCAAATAACATTTTCTTCACCTCAAACAGTAAGTAAACAAAGTCTGTTTTTACATCCATTGAGAATGACAATAGTTCCTTAATGTAGGCTATTTGAAAAATCTTTACAGATCTCTACCTTTTGATAACCACGGCGTGAAAGGGGTAAAAAATGTCATGCTCTGATCCGGTGGAAACATCATAAAATAGGTCTACCTGATTACTTCTTATCCCTTGTGCAAATAGCCTACAGCTGTGTCTGTCTGTGCTCACTGGCATAGGAAAATCTGAGGGTCCAGAATATTTTATACAATGTTGCAAGGTTGTTAGAGAAAGCTTCAGGCTGGACCAAGTTGATAGCTCAATCAATGTTTCAAGTTCCTTGCAGACAGGCCATGCGTAGCCATTGTGATTTATTTTCATGAGGATATTTTCTACCTGCAGGCTGCAATGTTTTTATTTGTTGGCTTTTATGTAGGCTATTTTTACATAGTTGGCAATGGCAATATAAGTTACTTTTAGATTTGTACAATTTTCATTTAGATTGAGATAAATTGGCACTACAAATGGAAAAGGTTGCTGACTCCTGGTGTAGCCTATTATAGGCAACTTCGGGAGCGTAATGGCAGAATCTGCCAAAGCCAGCAGCAGCAGGAGGCGGAGCTTCAGGAACAGGTTTCTTTCTTCTGGTTAGGCTCTCTTCAGTCATTTGTGTGTCTTAATTATTTAATCACAGTGTGCTCAAAGCATCAGACAAGCTCAGTAGCCTACACATAGTTGATTTTATTAAAACAATTAGGGTGCGTCTATATATGGATAAATACACATTTTAAACATTTAAAAAGATCTTGGTGGACTCTTGGGGACAGCCCTAGATTCCACTAATACTAAACATTCAGGTTTGAGCCCCATGGACTATTTTTACTACTGTATACCTGTACTGTATATTCATTTAGGCCTAGACTGCCTCTGTTAGCTAGGGAGGAAAAAAGCTTTCCTTACTAAGAGAAAGGTCCATTACAGTGAAGGTCAGTTCTACTCCAGGGCCAGGCAGGAGTAGAAACCACATACAGTCACTGTTCCAAGCTAATTACGGTGTACCTTAATCAAAATAACCAAGACCGGAAAAACTCCTCATCCAGACCATGACTTGATTACATAGAATAAAAAAAGATATAAATATAAACAAGTAAAGGCCCCGTTTTGTTTTCACATGCTGAGTGGTAGTCTTTAGTCTGTTAATTATTCGCTGGTCTTGATTGTACCTCCATTGTTTTGTGTTTTCCATTACCTCATGGGGTCATCAACAGCAATAGTACTGTATTCACGTCATGCCCATACACAAAAATGTATGCACGCATGACTGTAAGTCGCTTTGGATAAAAGCGTCTGCTAAATGGCGTATTATTATTATTATTATGCCAAATCCTAAACTAGTAGGACTGTAAGCCCACAGTCTGTCTCTATGTGAAGCAGCACACCATCTGCACTGCAGGTCAATTTTTTTCACATTTGCTTTTTTAATTTAAAAGTAAGAGGGTGTGGTTTCAGTTCCTATAAAAATGCATGACAGGAGGAGGTAATCTACCTGGAGATGGTACGATATAAATTCACAATGGTCTTAATGACATGACCCTAAAGCACGTGTCAAACTCACTCCACAGCGGGCTGAGTGTCTGCGGGTTTTCGCTCCACCCTTGTACTTGATCGCAGTATTAAGGTCACTGATTAGTAAGGAACTCTCCTCACCTGGTCGTCTAGGTGTTCATTGGAAGGAAAAAACAAAAAGCCGCAAACACTCGGTCCTCTGTGGAATGAGTTTGACACCCCTGCCCTAAAGTCATGGGTACAGTGGTGTGTGTGTGTGGGGTTTCATTTCTACAGAGATATGTGGACGGGATGTACTTTCCACAGGAGGTTGGTGGCACCTTAATTGGGGAGAACAGGCTTGTGGTAATGACTTGAGCGGAATCAGTGGAATGGTATCAAATACATCCAACACATGGTTTCCAGGTGTTTGATGCCATTCCATTTGCTCCGTTCCAGCCATTATTATGAGCCGTTCTCCCCTCAGTAGCCTCCACTGGTGCTACTTTCTTATGGCAGATAGTAGAGTACAGTATCAACAGACACTGCTCTTTGACCCTCAAATTAGACCGTTTGTAAACTCATTAGATTAGAGAGACAGCATCCCAACAATACAGAGAGCAGACAAAGAGATCCATCCCTCCATCCCCCTAGGCACGTTATTCCCCTGGGACCCTGTAGTGTAGTGGGTAATTAAACATGCAGGCCTGTGTGTTAGAGCTGGGCGATAAGGACAAAAATCCATATAGCGATAAATTGCCTGAATTGATGTGTTAATGATAAATAGAACTATACGTTTATAACATGAATGTGCACCACAGTTTATTTTTTATTATCCTTTAAACTACCACTACTAGTTTGATGGTTGTAGCCATGAATTGTCCCATTAACAATCACCCATATTAGCAAACATATTTAATTTCAAACGTCACATTTCTCTAGCATAGCCTACTTATCATAATGAACGATATCAGCAAAATGCCTGAGATAAGTGACCAGTATGGTCGGTGTCGATCATTTTCGGTTTATCGTCCCAGCTCTACTATGAAACATCCACTTGCCAGCTGGCTGTCACAGTATAGTGCAGCCCTGCGCCTGTCTTTAAGTGGTGGGCTATTACTGTCAGTCACACAGATCGCTGCCCTGCTGGCCTGGCCCAGCCACCCTCTGTCAGGTACACTCCTCCTGCTAGGCTCTATGGTGCAGTGTGTTTGATGTGAGAGGCCATGCTCCGCTCCACTAGAGCCTGACAGCGGCCAGTGTTTTCTCAGCCCCTTAAAATTGATGAGGTATAGATCACAAGTTCCCCCTTTCTCTCTGAAGATCATGTTCATGTGTGTGGATGGAGAGAGAGATAGTGTGTGTGTATTAGGGGAGTTGACAATAGCAGGGAGGACCCTATGATTGATTGTGAGAGCAGAGCCATCTCTCAGTATAGTATGTTTACCACAGAGCCAGAGAGAAGAAGAAAAAATGCTGATATCTGCACAACTACAGCCAATAACAGTGAATCTCTGTATTTTTCTCCTCACAGTTAATCCCCACTGAATCCACTGTTTGGGGGTGAGGTAATCTAGTGCTTTAAACTCATATTAATGTGATTTTGTAACCCCTTAATTGAAGCCCACCCCTACCATTATGGTGGGGTTATCTTTAAATTGCTCTCCCCTCCCTCCATCCTTCCCATACTCCCTCCCCCTCTCTCCCTACCTCACCCCTCTCTCCCTACCTCCCCCTCCCTCCGTCACCCACCCAACCCCCCCTCCTCCCCTTTCCCCCTCCCTTCTTCCTCCCCTCCCTCTGCTTTGGACCCCCACAGGATATTAACTTTCCATCCCTGTCTCATTTCCTGCTGGGGATGGCCTTTCATGTGTCACTGCTCCCTCTGGGCCCTGCTGTCACCACAACCTTTTCACGAACACACCCACACACAGTACAAACGTGCGCACACCCATACATGCAAGCACACACACACACACACACACACACACACACACACACACACACACACACACACACACACACACACACACACAAACACACTCACAAACACACTCACACATACCTGTCCCGGAAACATCTACAACATTACAAACGCACATGAGCACGTGCAAGAGTCATAATGGCATACACATTTACATTTGCACATCCAAGCTCATGCCCACATACAGTAGTCAAATCAGACCAGATATACAGTAGTCAAATCAGACCAGATATACAGTAGTCAAATCAGACCAGATATACAGTAGTCAAATCAGACCAGATATGCAGTAGTCCAATCAGACCAGATATACAGTAGTCAAATCAGACCAGATATACAGTAGTCCAATCAGACCAGATATACAGTAGTCAAATCAGACCAGATATACAGTAGGAGAACACAGACACTGACTTTCCATCCAAACCAAGCAGCCAACACACACTCAACAGAAGGGTGTGCAGATCCTATGTCTACAGAATCAGTCACACTTTGACTAACACATATGCTCATGTACCCACACATCTAATCAATCTCTCTTTAGTGACAGTCCCTTCCAAGCTTCACACACACACACACACACACTCTCTCTCTCTTCTCAATCTCTTTCCCCTTCTGCTCTTCTCATTTAGTCTAGCTGCTAAGGAAGCCGGCACGCCAACCAGGGAAAGTAAAAAGGGCAGAGCCAGAGCAGAGGGATTGCATAACGGTCTGTCACCCTGTTGTAATCTCTATCATATGGACACCATGGGCTCTTTAGGCCAGAGACCATGTACCGCACTCTCACAACACCATGCCAGACACACAGTCTGTCTGTACACTCTCTCTCTCTCTGTCTCTGTCTGGGTGATGCTTAACCAAATGTACTCAAGTGTTGATTTACAAAGGGCCCATGGCCACTTGTACTGCTAATAATGTTGTCACACATTAAATGGAAATGGTTTAGGTTGATTTATTATTAGCTACACACTGTTCCAGGATCAGCTCTGCTGCCTGCCATTTAAAGTGGAACCATTAAGGGCTGGAGAACTAAGCTAGGCCAAGCTCACTGATAGAGGAGGAATGCATGGGGATCGGGGAATCCCATCACTCCATACATCTCTAGAATGATGTCAGGGCATGTGAAGATGGCAATGACATACAAAGTGGTATTACAGAGGTTATTAATGGGGTATAACATAATAGCCATAAAAATATCAAAAGATGTGATTAGGCTACTCAAACAGACCCAAACAGACCCCAATTTTCAATACACCGAAGCACCCTGTGTTTTTAATGAGTTGGGAAACTTGTTATAAAGCACTGGCTGCCATAAAGCGCCAGTCACCAGCAAGGCAGGCCATATGAAGGAGCTATTTGAGCTATGGGTTTATGGTGCCCCCACCAAGCATGCATGTGTGTCAGGAGCGATGGACATGTTGACCCTACTGAGTTTTCCCCCTGGCATTCTGAATCTGAACACACATATGGAAAGTTCATCTCCTTCTGCCAATGGGGAACATGGGTCAAATTCTGCAGCATGTGGAAAAATCTGGTCTCCAAGTATGGTGCATGAGGGCAGATGGTGAGCATTCAATTACAAAAAAGAAATGGAGAAACTTGAAGAAATTGTCGATCAAAACAGCACCAAGACACAAACAAAAACCAAACAGTTAAGGGACATTGGTCCAAATGACACAGTCATTCAGGAAGCTATTATTTTAACATGCAGTTAAATAAAAAAACAGAGGTCTTGTTCTAGGCCAGTTCTCAAGTTTGAGTTTGCCAAACTTGGAACCTCTTCACCTTAAAGCAATAAATTGCACAATCCCAGCCCATTCAATGTGAGTAGGCGGAAGTATCTTGGAGGACTGTTGGCCGCTTTCAATGGTGCATATGGTTGGGTTCATTTAAGCTGCATCAATAAGTCAGTATCACTTAAGCATCCGATCGCGAGGTACTGCTGGGGACAGCGCGCGTGCTGCAGAGATTCCCAGGGCACTAGAGGCCCTATGAGCACGGGGGAATTCCCAGAGGGGGAAAAAGACGCACATGCCTAGAGCGCAACAAAGTAGCTATTTGGGTATTTAAGGCCTCTTTGTTGTAGCTATGTTTACTATGACTCCGGATTGGGCGTCTCAACAGTAGCCTGCAGTCTGTAGGCCTAAATTATATGAGCCGCATTCTAAGAACCTTTACAGAGGTTATGTACAGGGTGCTTCAAACCCCTATGCGTAAAGAGCGTTTTTAACCCCTACCCCTATCCATAAAGAGAGTTGTAAAGTGTCTCACCTCTCTCCCTGAGTTTCGTTCAATTGCCTTCTTTACTTTGCCATAGGTCCCTCTTCCTAGAGTCTCGAGCAATTCGTAGCGATGTTTCAGGTTATGCTTGTGGTGGTGTTTCTTGAAGCCTGAATTTCTCCTGCTGCCATCGCCAGCTGCCGGTGTCTCTGCCATTGAATGACCGACAGGTAGCGGTGGCGGGGACAGGTCGCCTCCAGATGGCTTACCCGATGAGGTGAGGGTTTGTTTGGACTCAGGACGGGTCAGCCCTCGGTGGGCCGAGAGAAAAGTTGTATCCATCTTCTCTAGGGAAGTATTAAAACTAACTTCCCACAGTTAAAGATATTAAACTAAGCTATTTGTTACAAATATTGATATTATAGTAATACTTTATTATAGGCCTAATAATAGTCGTAATAAATACAATAAATTACAAGGAACAATGCGTAAATATTATATTATTAAACATATACATTATTCCGATTGTCTAATGATCACTGCCTTTGTTAATTCTTTTCAGATCAAATAATTCTCCACATCTATTCATCCATTTGTCGCCTTATAAGAGTGAGTCATTATTATACGATTAAATAAAAAAGCAAAAGATTACAAAGGAGACATCATCTGTCTTGACGCGTCTGATACATAATGCAATGCATATTATATATGTCTAACTATAAAGTTATATTCTAGGGCAACAGTCCTCTAAATATGTATTCAGAATTCGACGGACCAATGCATGTCAGAAGCTGAATCCACTTTCGATTGATGTCTCCTCGGGTATGGACAATGATGCTCAAAATTGAGCAATCCAAAAAGAAACAATATTTAGGTTTATTAAAACATCGGGCTATTCTATTCTCGTTATCCGTATAGTAACTGGCATTATCTATCTCACAGTCTTTCGTTTATTCTGGGCCGTTCACATAATCTACGGTGAAAGTGCTGCCAACATCATTAACTCAAAACTAACAGGCGAAACCTTCAGCGTCATTGCCTCCCGAGAAAGCAGCGACGAAACCGGCGTTCTGGATGAAGATGACCCTCATTTTGTCCTCAGGTGCAACGTCATTCAGCTGCTGAACTCTGTGTATGGCGCGAGTGCTCCATGCCCATGTCAACGTTAGAGATGCGCTATGATCAGATATGTCAAGCTCAGACGTTTTGAATATTGCCATGTTCGTTTTGCTCTCCTTGCTCTTGTGCCCTTCGTCTCTCTTTCTCTTTATTCTCTAACGTGAGGGGCTGTGAATAAGGAATGTGAGATGATCAAATCCGGAGGCGGAGTTACAGTCCTCCTCCCCTCTGTCCCTCTCTTCGTGCTCTCCACCTCTCCCCTCCTTATGCGACTGCTGCTGCTGACTGATTGCTTTTCATCCTGAGGCTGTGGAAGCTACAGTCATTTTACTATAGCATAATCATTAGAGTTCCATTTTCAAGGGCAACTCAGACCGAGTCAAAGTTTAATATATTAGTTTAATTATTAATATTGCTGAAACGTTTATGAAGCCTTGTGAAATGAGTCCTGCAAGTGCAAACCCTGACTCGTTGATTTTCCCATCAATAATATAACAACTGTGCCCTGTACTGTGGGTCAGTCAGTCCAGAGCCAGCAGCTATAACTAAGAATCAGGAAGGAAAAACAGGAACATGTAGTCCTATTCAATGTTAGGGTTATCACTAAATAAATGTTGTGCATTCATTCTCTCTGATGACATTGATGGATGACAGGCAGTGTGGCACATTGATAATCTGGCTCTGCAGAATTCAGAATCTTGCTCAGTGTTCCTGTCATTCCCTGGGGACAACTCAGTATTATGTTATTATCATGCATACTGAATTAGATTTTTGTTACATCTGGTTCTTAGAATGGAATGCAACAGAATCTCAGAAGAGATTATCTAATTAATAGGGCTACCATTTTGCTGAAGGCTACATTGTATGATACTACTGATCACTGCGTGCAAGAACATCTTGTGTTATTACATGGCCATGTAGTGCTGATAAATTGTATCAAAATATTAAATCAAATCAATTAAGCAGCAGAGGTCAAACGAAGGTGTGGTTTTTGCTTATTTTTAATACAACTAACACATTATATTTGTACATTTTTTATTGACTATTATATTTAAAATGTATAAAATATTTTGTGATTTTCCTACTAAATGTATTAAAGAAAACATGTTACTGTAATGTCTATTTGCCAATAATAGCCATGGAAGGCAACTCCTCTCCTCTGAGCCCTCATCCTCCAGCCAACTACAGCATCAGATGGGCCAGTGCCAATCTGCCCCGGGAGCCTCACATCACCTCCGGTCCACTGGGGAACTGTTCAATTAAACGTTCAGAATATTGCAGCTGGAAATTCAATCTACCTTAAATTCTACTTGACAGATTATCATAGTTCTACACAATACATATATAGCTGAGTGTTATATCAAAGTGTTGCACACTCTTGAACAGACCTACTATGCCCAGAGAGCCTCAATTCACTTCTGGTCCTAATCTAGACCGAGACTCCCAGAGGTTACCAGGAGATGACCTGATGGAGCCTGCAGCCTCCTCACTGAATCATCTCATTGGGTTTACTGTAATGGCTCTTGTTAAAGCTATGTTGTGTATGGTGTAATTTATACAGAGAGAGGGGAAGTTTATGTTAAACAGCAACTGATTAGAGTGACCCGTTTTACTTCTATGATCTCTACGATAGATGAATACATTTAAAAAATGTGTGATATTTTTCTCTCTCTAAACATGGTCATTGGAGTATCCATTTATAGCAACACTGACTCAGTCAGAGATGTGTATCTGATATGATGCAAAGAGGGCCTTATTTGCACTCTCAGACAATTTGTTCTTGGACAAATATAATGTAAATACTGCCCTCTAGTGTGAGAGGTATGGAGACGTCCCATAAACTCAACTCGAGCTTTACCAAAGTCAACCAAGAGGTCCAGTCTTTACATAACTAACAGTCATATTTTTATCCTGACGCAAATTCTTTCAAAACAATATCAACAGTTCCAAATAAATATGTATTCCTCTCCACTAGGGTTTTGATCTACGAATGTATGATTTTAGAGTTCCCAGCCAGTCAGAACTCAATGAATTAACCATCAGACAGACAAGCATGGCTGCCAAATGACCATAAAAGTACATTCTGGGCAGCACCTGTGGAAATAAATGTAATGGCTTCTACATAAAAATAGAGATGTTAATATTCTTGTATTTGTTGCAGTCGCCTCTTGGAACATATGTACCCCTATATTATATTTTAGAAATAATATTCTCAAACAGATGTCACTATAGATCATTTTCATAACACTGGAACATGATAAAGAAAGACAAGTCTTAAGTTTCCATTTCAATGTGTTCAATAATAGTAAGCTATGATACTTAACACGAGGGCACTTGCCCTGTTCCAAATGTCAATTTCCTTTTTCTCTGCAATGTACTCAACCAAAAAGTTATAACATATATTTATAAAATACCTTATTTAAACACCAAATATTTTTTGGGTTTGTAATAATTCCCAAACTGCAATTTCACATTGTGCTCTTGGTGAATCCGATTTTTAAAAATCTGAACTCTAGAGCAGTGATCTCCTTGAAATGCATGGTTACATCCCACTCGGGCTCCCGAGTGGTGCAGCGGTCTAAGGCACTGCATCTCAGTGCTTGAGGCGTCACTACAGACAACCTGGTTCAATTCCAGGCTGTATCACAACCGGCCGTGATTGGGAGTCCCATAGGGCGGCGCACAATTGGCCCAGCGTCGTCTGGGTTTGGCCGGTGTAGGCCGTCATTGTAAATAAGAATTTGTTCTTAACTGACTTGCCTAGTTAAATAAAGATAAAATAAATGGCACCCATTTTCGTATAGGCCTATAGTGCACTACTTTTGAACCGAGACCTATGGGCCCTGGACAAAAGTAGCACACTATAATAGGGTGCCATTTCAGACACAGCCCGTGTGTTTCTGTCAGGGATTTAGAACCCCTGGGCAGCTGGCAGAGGTCACTCACAATAACAATTTCAAGATCAACACAACTACTTCGGCACACATTAGGCATCCAAAATATAATATTTCTCATAATATGACTGTTGTTTCCTCTTTTTTATCTTTAAAGCTAGACCACCATTAAGAAGAAACAAAAATGCTGTATTAAGCATGCCCAAAATAGGGACTGATCCACACTTCAAGAATTCGGACAAACTTTGAGATTACATTGGACATCCGGGATACAGTTATTTGTAATGAGAAATCTACGTCATACCATCTTGACTCCCACTGACTCACCAAAACACCTCATCATAAATTTGAGATAGTGAATGTCCTACCTGTCTGACATGGAAAGCTGAGACAGAGAGAGAGAGTGTGAGAGAGAGAGATGAGATGCAGAGGCGTATTCAAATATATATATATACAGGGGTGAAACTTTCCCTGGGGACGGGGTGGGTCATATCACCCCCACATTCTGAAATTTCATTTGTTTTTACAGAACAAAACTAGTATTTTTTTGCAGTGCTGAACTAGTATTGTAACTGACATGTAATGTTAGCTAATGTTTCATCCCCTCTCGACTGAGGTGAATGAATAAGGTACGCTAGGTAGTATCTACCACAGCCAGGTCAGCTCTAGCCTCTAGCCCCACAGAAAACACTGCTACTCCTACTGCTTTTTCCTCGTCTGACCATGTGTTCTCGCATACCCTGAGAGCATCTGGTCAGTGCGGCGGTGGCACAGGAATCCTCATCTCTCCCAAGTGGACATTCTCTCTTATTCCCCTGACCCATCTGTCTATCTCCTCATTTGAATTCCATGCTGTCACAGTCACTAGCCCATTCAAGCTTAACATCCTTGTCATTTATCGCCCTCCAGGTTCCCTTGGAGAGTGCATCAATGAGCTTGACGGCTTGATAAGTTCCTTTCCTGAGGATGGCTCACCCCTCACAGTTCTGGGTGACTTTAACCTCCCTACGTCTGCCTTTTGACTCATTTCTCTCTGCCTCCTTCTTTCCACTCCTTTCCTCTTTTGACCTCACCCTCTCACCGTCCCCACCTACTCACAAGGCAGGCAATACGCTTGACCTCATCTTTACTAGATGCTGTTCTTCTACTAATCTCACTGCAACTCCCCTCCAAGTCTCCGACCACTACTTTGTATCTTTTTCTCTCTCGCTCTCCTCCAACACTACTCACTCTGCCCCTACTCAGATGGTAATGTGCCGTCGCAACCTTCGCTCTCGCTCTCCCGCTACTCTCTCCTCCTCTTCCATCCTATCATCTCTTCCCTCTGCT